TTTTTATACAAATAAATATATTAATTTATTATTCAATTCTGTTTAAATTCATGTTGTAGGCCTATGCGTGTTTTTAATGTTATAGTAATTTATAGTTTTAATGTTATTTAATGGAGAAGGGGAGAGGGTGGACTTTTAGCAACTTGCTATATGTCATGTGGCTATCTAACCTCTCCAGATTTTATTGTGATTTTTATCAATAAAGTAAAAAAGATAGGCATCTAACAAAACGTTAATTTACTCGTTTAATTGTTTAAAATTAATAGTTTCAATTTAGTAGTAGGCCTACTGGCAGAAGATAAAAACGCAAATCCTGTGGGCAAAGTTTTACAAGTTCTTATTTTAAAAGTGTAGACTGTACCTTTTATAAACATGTACTACGAAAAAATGAGTTCTGTATTAAAGATGAAAATCTGTATGATGTGCAGCTAATAATTCTTTTTTTAGATAATTTGGACCTAATTTGTTTAATAAATAAATCTATTAATTTGTTATTCAATTGTGTTTAATTTCTTTTTGTATGTGTCTTTTTAGTAAATGTTACATTAATTTATAGTTTAAGGTTATTCAATGGAGGCGGAAAGGGTGGGGTTAAATTTTAGCAATTAGCCATACGGTATGTGGAACTTTATCTAGCCTCTGCAGGTTTCATTGTAATTTTCATCAATTAAAAAAAGCATCTAACATAAACTTTATTATTTTAATCCTTAACTTTGGAAAAATTGTAAATTTCAAATTAGTAGTAGGCCTATTGGCCATTCTAAAAATTATAAAACTAAAAATACCTCCGTTACTTGGGCGATGTTTTTGATTTTTTCTTGTAGTCATGTCTTCTTTTGACTGAGCCACCGATTCAGTGACTTTTAGACATGATAAATTGTCACTTGAAACTGTCTTGTTTGTCACTACAATTTGAAAAGGGTTCAAATAATTATATATTAAATTATATAATATATAAGCAATAATTAAAACTTTAAAAAAAATCCATATGCATTATTGCTATAAGCTGGTTTCGTATGTACTGTATAGCTGTCAAAAGCTGCCCACACTCATCAAATGCAAAAGTGTACAACAGTCTAAAAATTACAGATATGTTATACAGATATGTTAATTAAGAGAAAGCAAATATCGTTACCATGGTTCCTAATGTTGCTACGGAAGTCTTACTATTGTTTAATGTTAGTCCAATGATTGTACCTTAGTACTGATTGTGTATGGTCATTGTATATAGGTTCTTGTCAATTGTTGGTAAGAGATGTAGCTAAGTGTATTTTTTTATTCTTTTGAATTTATTATTATTATTTTTTTATTTTTTTTTTGGTATTTCTGCGTTTTGTAATTATTAAAATGGATGCACCACATATGTGCGTGTCACCGATTCAAAGGTGTAATTTCCAAGTATATTTATTGATTGGGTTGACGTTGTTTAGTTGTTACAAAGTAGATGTTTCTTTCCAATAGTGACATACACATTTTTTTTTTTTATAAAAACACATTTTATAAGAATATTGAGGCTTAAATTGCCAAAAAATTAAGAACAAAATAAGAACAAATTCAGGTTGAGGTAAAATGTCAAATGAGGTTTTTATATTTAAAAAAAAAAACCAACATATTATCCGTACCTTATTTGCAGTAGGTGTTACTAAGTAATATCCTCTACAATACAGTACAGATACTGCTGTACATTAATAATTGTCTACCTTTGTAAAATGTGTAAAACTAAGCAAAATAAGAACATTTTGAGCCTTAAATCGGCAAGAAAAATAAGGACACTGATTCTTAGCAAAATTTTACTGGTTCTTATTTTTAAAAAAAAGTGTAGTGAATTCATTTCTATTATTTAGTGCGCTTAGTATTCGTTTACAAATTATGAAATATTTCTCCATTAAACAAAATTTACAATAACAAAATATTCTGGATCTGCAGGTCACTGAACTACCTATAAAACATCCTGAGATAACAGAAACCCAAAAGGCAGAGGAAACCAGCTTCAATACTTTGCTATAAACCTCCAAAAATGAAGGCTCACCAGTTCAAATCGCTCACACAAGGTAGTAACTGGTATTATAGAACTTTCATGTACCTGGGTTAGAATGAATTGGACTCCTGATGACGTCATCTCCGTGGACATATGTCGGATTACTCAACACTCGCCGTACTAGAAATATCAGTTGGTTAATAATACTAATATTAGTAATGAACATAGTAATGATAATGATCATTAATAATTGGTCTAATAATAATGATAATGGTTATGATGATGATATTAATGATGATAATTATTAGCATATAATAATAATAATAATACTGTAATAATAATAATAATAATATGAAATTAATAATAATAGCGAGAATAATAATAATAATAAAAATAATAATAATAATAATAATAATAATAATAATAATAATTAAAAATAATTCCGATTTTTAGTCGGATGTATATGAGATGTGTCTTGAAACAGAATATTTCAAGTTTTATGGCAGTGTGATTGTTTTTTTCCATTTTGTACAGTTCGTTAATAATACTAATATTAATAATATACGATATGATTATTAATACATAATGGCCTAATAATAATTGTTATGATAATTAATGATGATTATGATGAGGATATAATAATAATAATAATAATAATAATAATAATAATAATAATAATAATAATAATAATTTCCCTTTCAATTCTACTTAGTCTGGTCTGATCTATATGTAATTTTATGTATCTCAAACAGAATATTTTAAAACTTTCATAGGACTGTGGCCGATTTTGTTTTTTTGTAGAATACAGATAGGGGTATTTTATTAATCACCAAACACAAAAATAACAAAACTTGTGAGACGACTGTAAAGACGGAACGTTTTGTTTTGGTGAAAATTCAATACACTTTAGTGGGCCTAAGTGTTTTAACAAACGCATGTTTCTTATGCATAGGCCTAGTCTAGAGCAGGGTCAAACCACTGCCAAATTATAAAATTACTTAAGCATGTTTTAATGGTAAAATTGGTAAAAGTGAATCGCTATAACAAACTAAAAATTTCATTAATATCAATTTTAATATGTCCGGTCTGTTATAATGATCAGTCGAATAGGGCTTAATTTCTTTACCATTTAAGTATCATACCTTTTGATTTTAATTCAACAGCAAAATCTTGATATTCACCAGATGGAAAATTAGCCGTGCCAATCTTATCAATATCTGTTGAAAACATAAGCAAACAAGGGAACATCCATTATTTTCATCATTTGCAAAAAAAAAAAATTACTTTTCCCGGTGGTTAATAGTAAACAATAAAATGATGATATTTGTCATTTTGAATAACCTATTTATATTTTTTTATACATGATTTCATATGCCTACACTGTCAAATCATCACCCCACCCCACCCCACCCCACAAACAAAGAATATGTTCGTCCTCTAGACAAATGATGGATTGACGAAATTCACTCAACATAGGATTTTCATTAGGCAGAATGAGGTACTAGGTGCATAACAAATGTTTGCCCATCCAAATTATATTGTTTTTTGATAAACAAAACACCATCAAATATATATGGTTACAGATTAAAAAAAAAACGGAAATGAAAAGTACCATTTTAAAGCTCTCGCCAGACTATCAAATTTTATTTGACAAAAACAGGTGACAAGCCTAAATATGGTCATCATGACATCACATCATGACCATATATAGGCACATAATGACTGTAAATAGACATAACACAGCTTTTTGTAAAAAAAAAAGTGATAATCTGGACAGAGCTTTGGCCTGGTTGCATAAAATGTCTAGCTGTCTCCTACGCAATCGGGAAGGCTCCCATATACGACCGACCAATCAGCTACGCAATTGGGAAGGGTTCTCGATACGGCCGACCAATCAGCGTCGTAGACAGCTGTTGGAGATAACATGTAGTCACTTTATGGAAACTCAACTTTCGAATCATATTGAGAGGTTGGCTGTCACAGTCGTTCGCAGATCTTGGTAGTTCTGTCATTATCTCATATTATATTATACCAATAAATTTTTGATTACTTTCAAATTATGTTCCTCTTAACCGTTTCTTACTCTTGCCCCCAGGCTTTCCGTAAAGAATATTCATATCAAATAACAAATAGACAATGTGCCTTGCAAACGTAATTCCATCTGCTAGCGGCACCTTTCATAATACATAAGTCTGTCATCATCATTTCTTAATAGGCTTGTATAACAAAAGAGTATATGCTTTGACGTAACTTATTAATGAATCATGAAAGTTGTCAAACATCTATTCACAGTTTTCTTCGAACGCCATATTCATAATACATCGTAGCTTCAGATGTAATTACATTATCATAAACTCAAATGTAACACATCATTCTGGTGTGCGGTGGTGAAATCGTCATGAATTAGGTTTGTCTTACACGCGCATATACATATATTTGATTTTTATATCATGTTCGTCTTGTGTAAATTTAACGTGAATTTATTACTACCGGTACTGAAGAAGCTACTAACTGTTAGTAGGAATGAACGCAATTTAAAATGATGGGAAATAAGATTTCGATGAACATTTAAAAGCCCATAAAGTGGTATAGGGTGTAATTTGGAAGATTGGCCCTACATCATTTTAGCCAACTAGATGCAGTATCAAGACCATAAAATGAAGCAAAAGGTGGGAATACCGACGATGAAACGGGGGGGGGGGGTGAGTTTGGGTCATCTCATACGCCCGACATACAAACATCAAACTCGGGGACCATCTTTTAAGCTGGTGTTCCACTAGGCGAATTTATTCGTTCATGCACATGCGCATTCACATTTCTATCAGAGTTTTCGCTTCAACGAAGTCGGTAGTTAATTCGAACTGTTTCTACTTTTTGCGGAGCGAAAAAAAAATGCGCAGCCAATCAGAGCTCAGGAAGCGAACAGACGCTCCGATTCGCGCCAATAAATTCGCCTAGGGGAAAAACAGCCTATACGCAGACCGCTTTAGACGCGGGGTAGGCCTATACGATAGAAAACCAGTACAAATGGGAATGCAATTACAAAAGCCACAATTATATTTCACTCAAAAAAAGATGTCTCCTACCCTTATGAGATTTAGATTTAGCAACGAGTTGTTGACCACCTTTGCCACAGTCTCCATTTTGATGATTGGCAGTTTTTGACCCCTGGCCAGGACCAGTACCTTCTGGTATGCACTTTGATTCTACATACGGAAGAGTCGATATGACTGACTGGTTAATGGAATTTTTTTTAATGAATTTATTATTATTATCATTAATATGTTAATATATGCCACGTAACTTTAGAATATGATGTTACGATAAATTATCGAAAAAAGGGCATATTTCAAATAGCCAATATAGTCTTTGCTGTTATTTTCCAGCTGTACTCTTCTATCAGCTGTCATTATCATCATTGTCATCATCCATCATAATATCACAACCATGTTCATGATCATCATCGCCGTCATCGTTTTCGTAACCATCACCATCATCATCATCATCAGTAAACATCATCAGTGTATAAACATCATCATTGCCATTACAACCGTCGTCATCATCATCATCATCATCATCATCATCATCATCATCATCATCATTATCGTCATCATTACCATCAATAACCATCGTCAACACCCCAATATGTCAAACACCTAACCACGTTTGATGTTAAACACGTAAAGAGAGTAAATGTAGGATAATTAGCATAATTGACAATAGAAATATTATTTTATTGCTGTTTTAAGTAAAGAATGTTAGGCCGGTTGTTCAATGGCTAAACAGCAGCAGGAAGTTTTTCTTTTCTTTTTTATACTAAATTGCATGCGACTTCATTTTTGTTCAGACATATACCTGGTTTATCATCTTGCTGTATTATAACCTTCGTAATCAGCCCCGATCTATTGTATATAGCGTTGTTAAATTCCAACTTCCCTAATAAAAACGAAAAAGTACCGTCGTTCTAGTTGAGAAGTCTATTTTTCATTTCACTTAACTCATCATTATTGCTCTTCATAAAATATGGTTTTGACTCTTATTAAAGAAAAGCGAATGCAGTACAAGTGGTTTCTATTACGAAATTGATTGACGTTCGGCTTGTATTGTAATACGAGCAATTGTACTATATAATCAATATTTTAAAAAGTACCTTTAGGCCTACTCGGAGCTGTTAGAGGTTCTATTTCCGGCTCTGTGTGATCTGTAGCTGTGTCAACAAGGCAAAAGAGGGCAGTATTAAACAAAATCGAAGGATAATGAAGGATCAACCACCATCAATAATGATAAAACTTGAAGGAACATTAGTTTACACGACGTTTTTTATTTATTTTTTTTTTTTGTGGGTCCTAAAACAAATAGTGGATCTATTATTGTAACTACATAGCTAACTTAAATAACGTTTACTTTAAAAACAATATTTTATTTTTTGTTGAAATAGTAACAAATTAAGTCATTCAATAGCAAAAATACAATCTATCTATATCTATATCGAATATGATCTATTTTACAATAGTCCATGTGTTTTTTGTTTTTGTTTTTATACCAAAGTTACACGAATAATAGGCCTATGTACCAACCTTCTCTTTGCAGTGGGTGTGACGTGTTCTGTTCGACCGTCAAGCTGTATTCAGCACTAGTATATATAAACAAAATAATGTAAAAATATCTAAATATTGTTCATAAGATTTACTTACGACATTGTGTTTTTTAATTGTTTTTCCTAGTTTTTATATATCGTATTAATTAAATACTTTTGATACGCATTTTGGCTCTATTTTTAATGATCAATATTATATTATTTATTGCCTTCATCATTTTAGTTAGGACATTGGCTTGGTTTTCTCTGTTATAGTGTTTATAAATTATATTGATTAGATACTTTTTATACACATTTGGCTCAATTTTTAATGATCATTATTATATTTATGTTTTCCGTCTACATAAGAATCTGAAACTTACTCATAGTTGCTGTTGTCCAATGTTCGTGTACGTTTCTTCTGATGGCGTACACAGCATACACTAAGAGTCAGGACAGCCGAGACTATTGCTACACTGGTGAGGGCGTAGCATATGTACATCAATATTGAGCTTTGTGGTGTGGTTTCCACTTCACTTGTTGAATTTTGATTTTTCTGAGCTTTGTAAATTGGTGTCAAAAGGCTGATTTGTTCCGTAGCGGCTTCTGTCTGGAGTACATCTAAATCGCTGTGAATATCTAGATGAAAATAATTCAAAGCAGTTATGTGATCTTAACAAACAAACTTTCTATATTAATATTATTCGTCTGCATTCTTGAACGGTTACTTATAGACGTTTTCAATCGCAGACAATTTAACATTTGTTGAAACATCTCAAAAAGAGAGAGGGAAAAAAAAGATTTACAATGCTAACCTGTAAAATGTTTTATTGCTTAAATGACGAACTACATAATATAGCATATCGAACATTTTTTAAAGTAAATATTACAGTACATTTATCATTTTTTAAGACCACCGATTATATTTTCGTGGTTATTAAAGATTCGTAATAACACAGGGCCTGCATAAAAGCACAAGTATGTCCCTACTTCGGTAGGTAAATAAATGATAGTTTTTGAATGATTACTCAATAATAGGTAGATAGATCGATTGATCGATCGATTGAATAATTGATTTTCTATTGATCGCTACACCTATTGATCTTTTATTAATTAATCAATAAATTGATTATTTAATTGATTGATTGATTGATTGATTGATTGATTGATTGATTGATTGATCACTTGATTAAATTTATGCAATGATACATTGGATATCAATTATCAATGAACCACTCAATCGATCAATCAATCAATCAATCAATCAATGCTAGCGTGACAGTTGTGTATAAAGTTAATAATCAATTTGTAGCAAATAAGTTGAAATAATGATTTACTTGACCAAAAGATTGGATGTGAATATGTAGAACAACAACTACAACAACAAAGCATAGTCATATCCATAACCACACCAACCACAACAACAATAACAGCAGCAGTAGCATTAATAAATAAATATCGGATAGGCCGGACCTACCTTGTGTAATGTTTTCGCATATCAAAAGATTGATAGTAGGTAATGGTAATGTTTCTTTTTCGAATGGGCTGTCATATTTATTTGTATAAACCATTTGTTTACAAATGTGTTCATCAAAGTAAACTAAGCGGTGTGATTGGTTGAGGAGCCCCTGCGACAAATTCTCCATGAAAGTCCGATCGGTTTCATCATTGATGTGCAGTAGGTTCAGTTTGAAACGCTCGCAAACAGTGCTAAGAGCCGCACAGCCATCTGCCGCGTTCTCCTCAAACTCTTCCTTTTTAGTGTATCTTCCAGCTGACAACAAAAAATGGGTGGACTGACATTATATAGGCCTAAATAAAAATATTTGGCCTCATTAATTAATGATTAAATACATTAATTATAATATTAATAAATGAATAAACATATTGTTAATATTTGTTTTTCTCCTGTCATTCCCATGACATTAAAATTATACATATTTGATGCGTGTGGCGTGCAAGTAGTCTAACGGTACTCAATTGACATAAATGGCCGAATGTTAACATTGTCAAGGGATGTTAGCATCTGGGGCCAGATTTATCAAACTAGAAATCAGCTTAAATTCGCCTTAAGTCCATTTTTTGCTCAATTCAAATTTATCCATATTGCTTAGCTTAAAAATTGCTTAAAATTAGAAAGTCGATTGTACGTTGGCGCAATCTAAGACGATTTTTAAGCCAAGATTTTGCTAAGATTTGTGAATAAATCAGCTTAAGATAGGGACATAACCTTTTTGACTTAAGAAATTTGCTAAGCTAAGATTGATAAATCATAGGCCAGGTCATAAAAGGTGGATGTTAGCATTGCAAAGAGATGAAAAAATAACATAATTTAACAAAAAAGGGTCTAGACTACCTTAGCCCCGCCATAGTTTGGGACGAGGTACGAGATGTGTATGGCATCTAGGTAGGTGGAAATCTCAGACTCAAATTTAAAAGCAATTGTCATTCTCCATCTCCAATATAAAATTAAGGGGTACCCTTCGACTTTGAATCTGCCTTTGCTCTCTGTACCGAATTATCTAAAAGGCTGTGGGAAGTAGAAATTCAATGTGAATTCCGACGCTGGGGATAAATTCATAGAGTTTTCGGCACAGAGGTAAAACATACCGGCCCAGGAGGCAGAATTCAGCACATATTTAGGCTGAGAAGTTGGCCTCATTTAAGGAGACCGAAATTCGTCAGTCACTCTGAGTATCCGTAGGAACCAAAAGTTCAGGCGACCCTTTGCCTTCTGCTCTCTAGGCTTCAACTTAAAACATAAAATCCTATGGGGTTAGATAATAGGGATGTTTATCATTAAAAAAGGTCTATATGTATAGTAAATAATTCATTCATTCATTCATTTTTTTTATAGGGTTAAGTTGATAAGTTCAAGCGTGCATCTATCGCACTCATTTTTTTTTCTTTTGGGTAGCAAAAATTGAGCTAATTTCTCGTGCATTGACTGTCATAAGTTATTATTAGGCATACTTTAACGTAAGTGTTTTTGGCTTCCGCGTCAAGTAAAACTCTTAAAAGTAAATAAATCTGTGATTATTTACAAAAAACTAAATATTAGTAGCAATTCAACTCACCTTTCAGGAAACAAGGGGAAGATTCTAATGGAATCCAGTCTGTATTCAATACATCCCGCTTAAAAAAAGAGTACTTCTTAGAACACCTGTAAGACAAGAGATCTTTTTTTAACCTTCTATTGCCATGTGTACTTTTTTAACTCATTTTGTATTTGCATTTGAAATTTGTCAATAAAAGTGAAATGAATGAATGAATGAATTGTAGTCAAGATGAACTCGGCTTTTTGTCAAGGCAACTCAAATTTAGTATTACCACCTAAGAGGTGAGATGTGTATATTTTCTAACAGATTTTATTAAAAAAATATAACTTCGTCTTTTTTTATATTTGAAAATGTTATATTGTAAGCATTGTTTTTTGTCACGGGGCCTCCCTGCGACAGTGCTTAAGTTTACTTTTGGTGTGTCCTGTCTCATGTTCTTTTGTGCTTTTGTGGTTGTTCTTTGTTGTTTCTGTTTGTTGAAATTTTAATGTTTGAGACAAATAAATGAAATAAAAATGAAATATATTATATATTTTCTTTTTATTGTTGTTATTTTATACAATAGAACAAATTTATGCATACTGTTGACTTAATACTATCTTAGAAAAAATTAAACACCAGTTACCTTGTCCCTTCCTCTCCGTCATCCTCGCTCAGAGCCTGACATAGTATTCTCACACTAATATACATTAAGCCAACTGAAAACCACCAGTAATGAGACATCGCCAAGTAACACCAATCTATTTTCCACAATAGTAATGAAAATATGTTAGATTGACACTATAATTATGAGAAAGTTTCACGTGAAACCACTCTTGAAACGGACTTCGTCAGTAATATTGTGTGAAATATTATTTATTATTTGAGGTTTGCATCTTGAGTAAATACGCTAATTACTAACAATGGGTTACAATTTCCGGTAGCGCCTACAGTTTGTCTTAAGATGGTTCTGAAAAGAGGCATTGTTAAATTGTCATAACAGACGATCTAATGTGTTGTTGATGTTCATAATATCGACCAGAAAAAAAACACTGAAACTTAGAGAACCAAAGTTTTCTCAGTACTGTTACCTTAATATGGATACTATTGTTTAAAATAATAACTCATTATTATTATTATTATTATTATTATTATTATTATTATTATTATTATTATTATTATTATTATTATTATTATTGTCATTGTTATTGTTATTGTTATTGTTATTAGTATTGTTTTTGCTACTACTTTTATTTTGTCTTTCCTGATGAGCATATTTGTTCGTCAAATTTTATATGCCACTTTTTAAAAATTATTGTTCTTTTTTTATCTTCTAAGTTAAATTAAGAGGTGTATTTGTGTCATTTTTGTATATTTTTTCTCAAACATTTCTTTCATTTTATTTTAGCAATGATCTTGGTTCCTCTTTCTGACAAACCCAATTGAGTTTCTTGGGGGATCGTTTTCCTCATTTTCATTTTTTATTTTTTACTGTACTTTCTTATGCCATTTTGAATTTGATGAATACAAGATTTGTGTAATTGATTTGTATTTTGAATTATCGTTTTTCAATTCTTTTACTTGCATATTTGGAAAATAAATATATATTGTAATTTATTGATGTTATTTTCATGGGACGTTTAGTCAAGAAACTCAATATGAGTTAAGTTTCAACCAACCTGACCTAAATGGCACTAAATGCTCAGTCACGTTCCTTAAAAAAATCGTAGATGAATCAGGTGGCAATCGAACCCACCTATAGCTACTCTGGTACAGCATGTATTTTAGTTACTATATTTAGTTTGGCATTTAGTGTGACATATTTATGTCGTTCTCATTTTTTCGTAGTCAAGGGAGGGATTCAAAAGGAGAATATCTTTTGGGTTATTCGAGGTATACTGTCAGTACACGAGTAGGCGCACTATTACCTCAATTTTGTAAGTCTGTGTGGGTTTATACCGTCTGCTCATCTCATGATTTTTTAATTTTTTTTTTTGTAATGGTTCCCCCTGATTGTTGCCAGATGGCTGTTCCATTTCATTTTGCTGTGTAGTAGGCCTATATAAAATAATAATATATATTTGATACTATAAAATTTAATATCTTTTTATAAAATTGTAAATACTGCTTTTATAGATTAGTTATTTTCTAATTATTTACTATTGGCTTACACTTTTGATTGTATTGTATTATGCTTGTTTTGTATTTGTTTTCTGTTTGGTAGGCTTATTTCTATATGTAAACTCAAGAAATTTTCAACTTTTGTTGCATTTTGAGTGTTTTATACCGAATAAATAAAATAAATAAAAAATAAATAAAATTCGTATTTAACACCATCATCTAAATCTACACTTTCCAATCTCGTAACACTCCCAGCCAATTAACATTTGGAACTTGGTTACATCCTTGGCCATTTTTACTTAATTTCTTTATATTAACATTATGTATGATAATTTTACTACTTTTACTTAATTTTTCATAGGAAATAATGGTTTTTTATTTTAATTTGTTTTACCGTAATATATTACCAAGAAATAGTTGTACAGCATGTTATTCAACCCAGTAAGTTCCTGAAGCTGTGGTCAACTTTTAATGACCACCAAGGTAACGACTTTTAGTTGGATTCTTTGTGAACCTACATAATTTTAATGTCGTTTCTAATCATGTAATACTTTCAGTTGGTCCTAGCAATAATATATATGACGTAATTAATTTATTCATTCCATGCCAATTCAACAAATGGGATGGTTGGGTGCCGTCTCAGATTTTCTTGAAACTTGGATATAATATGCACCAACATGTCTAACGAACAAACCTAAAATTTGACTTGCCAATTCCAAGTCGTTTAGAAGTTCTGGCCATTTGAAATTTTGGAGTCATACCCCCTTTTACCTCTCAATTATGACATATTTGTAAAGTTGCATTTTTAATTAGCCATATCTTCTAATACAATTTAGATAATAAACTGAAAATTGATAGACCAACTTTTGGTTGTAGAACAGGAATATGACGTGACTTTTGGTATACGAATATATATATATTGGGATCGTAAAGACCCTAACTATTTTGGTAGCATAATTTTCCTTCTATTTTTAGACCCCATTAAAATACCCAAATCAGTTATTCTGGATTTTTTTCTTATCATTTTAGGGGGTAATCGTAGGTCAAAAGGTTATTCAGGACAAAACAAAATGCAAAAAATGCCTTATTTACATGGTAACCTTTGACCGTGTGGGCAAGTACTCTTGTCTTTTAAACTCGCACCTTAAATTCATTTATATGTGATGATCGTAATGTTCCAAATATCAGTTTGGTGCCTTTACCCCTTCATGTTTAAAATCGATTTGAACAGGGGTATATTTTTCAATTTTTGACAATATCTGTGCGTAAATGTGACATCATTAATTTTTGAATAATGATAATATATTAACAGCAATCTGCCTAGAGCCTTGAAACTTATAATTCTAAAACAAATTTATGTGCTTATTGCAGGCATGCAGTTTGTTAAGGGATAGAGTGTTTAATTAGTAAGATATTTTGCCCCAAAAATGGCCCAATTACGTGAAAGAATTGTGCAATAAAATTGTGTTAACTATTGATTTCAAATATGTATAATATTATCCGTGTACTGACTAGAGAGCCATGAAACCCTTTTATGCTAGGACAACTTTTTGTGATAATTTCATTTTACAAATGTACTAGAATATAAGGTTTCATGGTTCTGAACAGTACACTGTTAATGTTATGCTCATTTGAAATATATCAATATATAGTCGCATAATGTTATTGTGCAATTCTTGCACTTAGGCCATTTATGGGGCAAAATATCTTACTAATTAAACAATGCATCCCTTTTTTCACAGACTGCATAACTGAAATTGTCACAAAAAGTTGTTCTAGAATGAAAGGGTTTCATGGCTCTCTAGACAGTACACGGATAATATTATGCTCATTTGAATTCAATAGTAAACACAATTTTATTGGACAATTATTGCACTTGGGCCACTTTTGGGACAAAATATCTTACTAATTAAACGATGCATTCCTTTAACAGACTGCACAACTGAAATCAGCACAAAAAAGTGTCCTAGTTGGTTTCATGGCTCTAGACAGTACACGGATAATATTGCGTTAAAGATAACACTGTTATCTTTAACAAACTGCATTCCTGCAATAAGCTCATAAAGTTGTTTTAGAATCGTGAGTTTCAAGGCTCTAGGCAGATTGTTATTAATATTATCGTTATTCAAAAATTAATGTTGTCACATTTTCACACAGATTGTCACAAATTGAAAAATATACCCCTTTTTTCAAATCGCCTTTTAAACATGAAGGGATAAAGACATAAAACTGATATTTGAAACATATGATCATCATATATAAATGAATGCATGGTGGGAGTTTTAACGACAAGGGTACTTGCCCACAGGTCAAATGCCACCATGAAAATGAGGCATTTTGTGATTTTTTTTTTGTCCCGAATGACCTTTTTGACCCTATATATACCCTCTAAAATGGTAAGTGAAAAATCCTGAAGTTTTTTCCAACTATATAGGCCTATTAATAATTTGTTGCATAAGACCCATGTAATAACTGATTTGGTTATTTTATCGGGTCCAAATATGGAAGAAAAATTAGGAGACCAAATAAGTTAGGGTCTTTAAGAACCAATATTTTAGTAACGTGGTCCGGTATACCAAAATTCATGTCATATTCTTGTTCTACAGCCAAAAGGTAGTCTAGATATCAATTTTCAATCTTTATTTTATTTGAAGATATGGCTAATTGAAAATGCAACTTTACAAAAATATCATAGGCCTAATTGAGAGCTAAAAGGGAAATGACCCTAAAATTTCAAGTCAAATTTTGGGAATGTTCGTCAGATATGACGTTGGTGCACAATGTATCTGAGTTTCAAGAAAATCTGAGATGGTGCCCAGCCAAGATTTTCTGAAATTTTTTTGAGTTGGCACGGAATGATCCAATTTGTGTGTCTATGTGACACTTTATTCTAGCCCAGAATTGGCTGATTGTTTAATGTTGCTATGTGGTCCTCATTGCACAGGACCCCGAATATGCAAAGTTACATACCTTTTTTTTTTTTTTTTTTTTTTTTTAGAGTTTCTAATAAAGTAGTTTTAGTTGTAATTTTGGATTTCCAGTGAAGACAACTCAATATATTCATGGACTAGATTTCACTATTTTGTCTGACTTCAGTTTTCCCTGCACTTTAAGATATGCATTTACTAATTAGGCCTAGGCCTATTATGTAAGTAACGTATTTAGGTTGTTTGCTTTAGCTCTTACCACCACAATTGTTAAATTTCTTTCATGTATTTCTTTAATCGAGGTTTCGTTGTAAATAAATGTAGGCCTATTATTTGTAAATATCACGAAAGTTTTGATTTCATTCTGTTCGACCATTTTGAGCCGGTATCGTAACAACCATCATAAACATTTATTATGAGAGAACAGCTAAGCTTAGTCGGCTAAACTGGTGATAGCCACTGTGTGTGCGCTGAACCGTGGAGATCTGTAGGTCCCTTGTTCAATTCCCATCACTGCGTTCCTTGTGTATACAAGTTACAATAGCGCACCGTCTTTCGGATGAGACGTTTAAGCTGTTATAGTTTCCCGTGTGCTTTATGGCCCATGTGCACGTTAAAGAACGCAGTACATTCTTCGGAAAAGAGCAGGGGATTGTCTCCCGGTGTAAAGACCCTATCGGAAACAAGTCTACGGACTTAGTGGGCTATCCTTCGTGTGATTCACACCGAAATACTCCTTATGGAAGTTAAACTTTGTGGGTGAGATTTTCTCATCAATAGGCCCCACTCTTGAAAATGATCAATAGATCCTTTGGATTTGTTAATTGTTTGAGTTATCTGAAATAATAAATCCAATTGAACAAACAACTGTAATATATTGCAGACACTGAATGTACTCAGCTCACAGGTGCTGTAATCTGAGATTTATTATACTATAGTAATAGGCCTGTATAAATATTAATATTATAACGTTTTGGTACGTTTAGTTTAAATTAGTAGAAATTGATCTACAATACAAGCAAAAATTTTTCCTTGAAAAAAAATTTAAACAACTTCAATGGTTTTAGTAAATGTTTGGTTGTTAATGAATATCTTTAGACACATCATTTAATTAACATGTTTTATTAAGCGGGAGAGACATAAAAAACATATATTCCTGCACAAGACTTAAATATTTTTTCTAATTTAAAACAAACATTAGGCCTAACCGTGGTGGAAAATCTTTATCTGAAAACAATTGAATTATTAAATGTTATTGTTTATTTGTTTAAAAAAGATAGGATGATATTAGAATTCTGAAAGGCCGGCTGTCACTAGGTCAGTATCTTGGCAGTACATTATTAATGGCTATCGTTCAATAAACAAGTATCGTAGGTCTAGTCCTACCTGTAAAGGCCTAACATTGCATTAAGTAGGCTTAGGCCTATGACACTAAAGACTTATTAATTTCCTTGTTGAAACATGACCTCAATCAAAGTAAATTGTAACGTTTTAAGGTTTGTTCAGACTATTTTTTATGACAAACTGTGATTGTCCCAGTATCAGAATGGAGTTTGAGGACGCCATCGGCCAGCAGTGGCCTGACAGGCTGATGATGATGATGATGATGATGATGATGATGATGATGATGACATCGTGCTCATGCTGTAAGAGATTTTAAAATATTTGTTCCATTAAACTTGATAGTATCATAGAGCAAAGGAACTATGATAGTATGAATATAGCTTAAGTCGATCTGAGTTATACTCCATTTGTTACAAATACATAATCCGACGGTGTATTTCTACGTTAGCTAACTATAACTTTTTATGCATTTTTTTAATTGTTGTAAACAAAGTGATATAATATAATGGTTTGAAGAAAACATAGGCTTGTTGTTTTATCGGCACTCGAACCCAAAGCCCTACGACACCTGGTGTTCCTTTTTGCTGTATATTCTTCACCTGTGTACAAAAGTGTTAGGTCTACCGTTCGGTTGCTATACAAATGTGGAGGTATTATTTTTTTATTTCCAAATAAATTATACCGGTACCCCTCGAGTATAAAAATATAAGTTTATAATGGCTTGAAAAAAAAAACCAAACAAACAAACTGTCTGCACTCGAACTTAATACAATTCGATTACCTGTCGGCTGTTGTACGATGGAAGAATAGGTTTAAACTTATTCCTCCGTACCAAACTTCTGAGCTATGATGCGAAGTTAAAGTACTCATGGATTTTCCCAGTTGGGCACGATATTGTTTTATTTTGTATTGCATAACAGGCAACAAGTCATAGGTCCCAAAATAGTAATTAAGCAGTGACTAACCTCTGCATTACGTATACCTGTAGGCCGGTTAAAATAAAAACCATTGCGATTTGAACCAAAAAACTGATTGTAAAAAATAAAAAATAAATGAAAAATAAATAAAAAATAAAAATATTAAATTAATAATGAATAAACTTCCATGTATAGGTATAAACGCTAATAGATGCGATTTTGCTTCATTCTAGAAATTATATTGGAATATTGCAAAAATGTCCCAGAATCGTTTTATTTTGACGTAGATAGGCATATTATAAGGAAAAGCACAATCAACATCGTGTGAAGCAGTTTCGATTTACCGTTATACAGATAGACTCATAAACAAAGAAAGGTGCTATGCCTAATTATACCTAGGCCCATACCTAAAGGCAGCGTTCATTCCTTTAAGATGGCCAATAATAAGGATATTGTTTCTTGCCAGCGACGTAGCCTAGGCATGTTGATGGCATTGATCGTTTCATGCCCATACTGCAGTTTCGTTACATCAATTTTAAAATAAGTAGGCAATAAATCAATGCAATGTGCCTTACAGCTAGGTCATAATATAATGTGTGCATGTTCGTATCCAAAGAGAATATATTGAACTTAAAAATAATTATTACTTACCTCTACTGTATATTTATCTCGACAATGATAGTATATCATAACGTTGTAACATACGATAGAGGATTTTTGTCAACAATTGCGCTTCCTGGTTAAACCACTACCATTATCGAGGATAAACAGAACAGATTAATAAGCCTCGGAGTAATTGATACTCTAGTACGGAATTACCGTTTTCAATAAGATTCCAAATTTTGAATTCCAACACTACGTATATATTGTTCTATCTCCTGATGTATCGTCCTTTCATATGAAGAATGATTTTTTTTTTAATCCAGCCCTATCAGATTGGAAAAATCAATTCAAAATTATACATTTACAATTGAAAATAGAAGGAAACACCATATAAACACCTCAGGAGAGATATCAAACCGAATACCGATGCGGCGGCAACGATAAAGCTTACACGAATAAGACCTCATGAATGGAAAGTAGGCCCGTCCATTATAAATACCATAATGCCGCCTACTTCAAGGCCAAAACAAAAATATTCACTTCACTGGAATAAGCCTCTCGAGCAGGAACTTGCACTACTTTATATTATTTCCTTTTATAACAAAGGTCAGGTCGTCTCGGATTCCCATACTCAAGCATGGAATATTCAACATAAGGAAATGTCTTTTTTTTGTTTCTAAATTTCTTATACAGATTTTCATAATTTGCTTTAAAAGTAAGCTTTAAGTGCAAGAAAACATAATATGCTGACATTTTCCACTAGGCCTATTACGTGTCTCGTGCAGATTCATATTTTTTTACCGCCTACAATTGATATAATAATATTATTCTATCTTATCTTAATACCACAAAGTGGTTTAGAATGTAGGTAGGCCTATTCTGTAATTCTGTACATACGTCATTATTGTTATAATAGGCCTATCTCAGAGCTGTGTCCTGTAGTTGAAAATGCTTCAGATAAACGTATTATTATTTTTGATGATCCACTTTGCAACCTATAAGCTAGTTTTTCTAGCTTAAAGATCTTAGCTCCACACACTGTGTGTGAGGGTTTCAGTCAGTTTATTCAGAGAAAGCGCATGAGGTTCGATCTGCGCGTATATACCAAGTGTCCGTGGTCTAATTGTTATTCGCCTTGACAGCGAGAGGTTGCAGGTTCGAATCCCACAACAGGAACTTTGTCATACAAAGCCATTAGGTGAGACCTTTTTCAATCATTGTTTAGCGAACCTGCCGCCCGCCAATAATAATGATACAAATTAAATTAATTTTTTTGGCCAATATGCACCTGCAGCCACGGAAAAAAATGGAACTTCTCAGAAAAAATGTAAACGTTTTTCTTTATATTTTATTACGTCTACCGCTTCCTTGAAATCCCCAAAAATAAATGTACAGCAGTATACCTAAATGCATTTCTTCCTGGTACTGGTAGGCTTACTGGTGCTGGTAGTCGTAGCTGTCTAATATAGACCTACAGACATTCCGGTAGCCATAGTTGACATAATGTTAGCGTTAGTAGACTGCATATATCATGTAAAGAGAGACCTATGCACAAACAATGACCAAGCATACAAATACGGAAAACGGAATGCTATTTACAAAAATTGTTCAAATTAATGTTTATGAATGAAACTTTCTTTGATAAATTGACTTCTATGAAGTTGGTTGTAATCTGACGCGTTGAAGAACAGAATTAGTTTTCTTTCCTCATGTCCGCTTGTTGCATTGAAATGTGAGAATTATATACAAGTATAGTTTAAATCATAACCATCTCATTACTACACTGTTTACATTCACTAATAACATTTCATTTTGTATTCTCCTCAGTCTGAATGTATTTGGCAACATAATTTTGTTTTTGTTTTTATTTCCGCCCTCCTCTGATGAGCGTTAAAAATTAAGAACAAAAGGAGATCTCCGAATTAAATCATTCATGGTACGTCAGAGTACAGAAAAAAAATATGGTTGTTATAATGATATTATACATCATTTTAAACGTTTGAAAACGGGTACATCTTTGTACAACTGGACACGAGGGGTACTCGAAATAGGCCTACACAGTGCAATTTAAAAAAAAAAAAAGGACGTGTGGGTACATAGAAATTGAAGGGAGAAATAACCCGCTCGTACAATTAGTTCCATAGAAGCTCTTTGTACCCTGTTCACTATACAGTGGATTCAAGGGGGAGGGGTGGGGGAAGCCGCCCAAGCCCCCAACCTGTTTTTTTTTTTTGTTTTTTGTTTTTTTTCAGAATATGAAAATTGACAGAAAATGATATTCCAGCCCACAGAGGTGCCATAATCATAAATTTTCTTACGTCAGCCCCATATAACTGCCCTCTGGCCCGGCCCCCTTAAGGTGACGATTGTCTGTTTAGCTTCGTATATAATAGTCTAAGTGACTAATACCAGCTTTTTAACAATTTATGCTGTATTATTCTTTATGAATTGTTGAGATAATTGATTAAAAGTAATTCTCTGGACTTTTGATAATGATTGATGACACCACATCCATCAATCTATTCAAAGCTCAACTTTATGTCATAATTAAAAATAAATACTTTAATTCGTACGTGTTTGTTCACTCAATTGTCAAATACAAACAATATTAAAAAAAAGGTAATTTAAGTTCAATTTTCGGAAATCAGAGGTATACTGAAAATGTGAGTTAATGACGTGGTCAGGACTATCTCTTTCAGCACCCCTACCTAGGGGTTGCGCGTAGGGATGGGTGGGGGAAGAGCCACACTTCCCCAAAAAAATACTCGCGCTCTCCCAGTCGCCCCCAACCACCCTACAAAAAAATAACGTAAATTCACCTTATTTTGCGAATTAGCGCCTCTATAACTAATCATCGAACCCTCCTCCCCACACTTCCCTCATCAGCACCCCCATTTCAAGACTTCTACATACGCCACTGATTAATAGGAACCGTGAATGGGAGAGCGGACTATTTTTTAGAGGATCTTATTCTTTTGGAAATGAAGCTGATTTAATTCTACATTTTTTTTTTTTTTTTTTTTTTTTTTTTTTTTTTTTAGATTTACTGTACATAATACATCCATAAGAGTGCTTCGTTGTGACAATTAAAATCTGGTCTATGTATTAGAGGGTGATTTTTTTATACACGTCAAGTTATATTTTACTTTGGAAGTTTGGCCAATGTGGTAAGATGAGAGTACCGGTACTTTTTTCCCGACATTAAGTTTGTTTTTTTTTTTGTTTTTTTTGTAATATACTGTGTTTTGTCAAAATTTGGCCCATTTAGGCGAGACTTTTTTTTTATTGTTTCGCGAACTCAATCTTTTAAAGATCATCAGACGAGAGCGTAAACAAAAAAATAAAATTTGTTTTTTTTTTCTTTTCATATTTTCCCAAATTCACCTAGGCAGAGGAGAAAATAACATTTTATTAATAAGTTACACAGTGCAGTAATGAGATTGATAAATGCTTTAAATTTATATAATTAAGAATATCTTTTCAGGGGAGCGGATCGAGGGCCATAATACAATTTTTAAAATATATATTTATTTATATATATATATAGATAGATATTTCAATTTTGTCTTAGCGTTGGCCAAAAATAACATTTTATTTTTTTTTAAATCACCATTTTTGGCGGTCGGAGGGTTCGCTAACAAGGTAGATTTGTGGAAGTCTGGGAGTTATGAATAGGCCTAAATGAATAAATAAATAAAATAAATAAAAATATTAAAAAATTAAAAAAAAAGAAATAACCTTTTATAAATAAAATAAATGAAATGCAGAAAAGGTTGTTGCTTTTTGCATGTGGAAAAGTCAACCCCTGCCTGGATTGATAATCTTACATAGGCCTGGTTATTTTATAATTTTTTTTTTCTTTTTATTTGTTTGTTTGTTTGTTTGGTTTTTTTTGACGAATTTGGTGGGAGGTGGGGTCGAACCTTCTTCTAGGCAACACAGTTACGGCTCTAGGACATAATGGTGGGGGGTGGGGCTAAGATGTCCGACTGGGGGATAAGTATTTATGGTGTAACATAGCGCGCAGCGTTATCTGAGGGCCGAAGGCCCGAGGCAGGGATGGGTATGGGTATTTTTGGTCTAACTGCCCGACGAGCTTTGGCCGATGGGGGACGGGGCTTGACCAGACCGATGGGGGGTTAAGCCCCTCTGCTGCCGCTGGCACTGCCACTGTTGTGAGGTTCATTTACACCCATACATCTGTCTCTTATACACATCTAGATGTGTATAAGAGACACGGAGTGAGCTGATCATTAAAATTAGCTCCCGGAGTTAAAAACATTGAACAAATAGGCCATAGGCCTATTGATCAACGAAAACTTTCTAAAAGACCAATAATTGCTTCCTATTTGTGTATTTTAATGGAACTCATAATGCATTTGAATTAAATTAAGTAGTAGTTTTAATAATAGGCCTATCACTACTGTATAAGGGAGTTGTTATAGTGACTACTGTAATAGATTCCCGAATAGATTCATAATGTACAATAGCTTTTCAGCGAGCATTACATGGACCTATTATTAATAGGTCCTATTATTGATAGGTCCATGGTCAGAGCGAAGTACAGCTGCACATACTTGTCTAAACAAACGTGTTTTGTTGCCATTGGCTCAATTCACGTGTGTAACAATACATTTCTTCCCACACATCAACAGTACATTGTTAGGCCTAGCCTGGTAGAGTAGGCGTTGCAGTTTGCAAAATTTATCTAGAAAAGTTAGAACTGTGGTAGAAAGAAGATAAACGAGATAAACAAAACAATGGTGAAATTTGTGGATCACATGTTTCCGTTTGCAGTGTTGTTTGTGTTTACACTTGCAGTACAGTGTACCTTACAAGAAATGACGCTTACCCCAGACGAAGATGCTGATGATGCCGACGAGGATTTCCCTTCTTCGGGCAAACTCTCGTTCAAGACCCCAGATTTAGATGATGAACATGCTCACTCGCAACACATGCCAGATGCGCTCAAATGTGACGCTTGTAGACACCTTACTCACGTGGTAGGCTACTTTTAGAATGTTTGTAAAGTTAGGCCTATACTATGCCTATGGCCATGCATTTTACGGCATAGGCCTAAGCCTAGCTATTAGAGGTCTAGTACTAGCCCTAGCCTAGGCATATATTGGGCTTCTCTAGTAGTAGTAGGCTAGTGCTTAGGGCGGGTGGCGGTCAATCCGTACCCATACCAACCCGTACCCACTTTGGCCAAACCGTACCCAAATTTAGGTCAATCCGTACCCACGTTTGGTCAATCCGTACCCACGTCATTTTGGTCAACCCGTACCCAAAATATATTTGTATCTGTACGATCTCGTGCAGTCTGTAAGATTGTCGTTGCCGCTAATATTATTAAGGTAAGTTTTCTCTCTGGGCTTTTTTTTTTATCTTTTCTCATAATTTTCAATTTTATTTTCATTAATTTTCTCTGGTTTTAATTTTTTCTTTCTCTTTTCTTTTGTCTTTGGGTCTATTCCTGTCTCTTATACACATCTAGATGTGTATAAGAGACAGGGCTACCACCACCCAAATAAACGTAATCTGTATTAAATATCAAATTGTACAACACAAAACATTACATTTAATTATTATTCGCTGAAACTTACCTTAGATTACATCTTCAAGTACAGTTTTACCACTCAGTATAAATAAAAATGAATGATAAAACAGAAAATAATGCAATAGGTCTACTAAAAGGTCCTAAGTATAATAAGGCTGTTTGCCCTCCTCACCTTCCCCATTACCTGAGAAAAAAATAGGGGTAGCAAAGCAAGAAAACTTTTTTTCTGCTTTGTTCTTTACATATCAAAAAATGTGTTAAAAAACTCTTTTCAACCAGCCCCTTTTTATCATTTTAAAAAAAGAAGGGCAAACAAACAATTTATATTTTTAGGGACCTCTGCCACAAGATGGGAAAAGAAGAGCCTATCTAAATAGTGTATTAAAATAAGCCTCTGCAGTACAGTACGTAGTGGTAGTACACTAGGCCTATTAGGCCTAGATAGCTATAAAAGTAGCGTAGTACTTTTTCAGTTACCGTATTACTTATACGGATTTCTCTTAATATACTACTAGTTATTTTGGAGATATCATCGGACTGGAACCCTAGATGAGGCGTGCCATAAACACCATTTACTATACGAATTTCTAAGTTGTCCAGTGAAAAGGCCTAGGCCCTGTCGCCTACTATTTTATGAGCAATATTCAAGCAATGTACCGCATTTTTAAATTATGCTAATTAAATCAGCAGTTTTGATTTCTTGTCTATACCGGAGCGTAGAGGGTTTAATTTGACATGTGTCTAGGCCTAGCCCGTTTTTAGCAAAGTTTAGGCCTACCTAACCACAGCAGCGGTAGGCGCCAGGTAAGGCTTAATTCTGGAATGAAATTCAGTGCTGTTTACATTGGCGACTCCGGAATGCACCCGGGATGTCCTACGCTGAATGTGTCCCGCACGTCCTTCCCGGAAAGTTTTGCTACCCGAGTAGGACTTTTTGACGTCTACACTAACCACAACTTGGGAGATTTTAACCCGGGTATTGGAAAATCCTGGTTTACCTCCGGAATTTTGCTTGCAGTGTAAAAGGAGTATTAGACTCAGCTAGGGATATGATCGGGCCGGGTTGATTTAAGTCACTTTTTGATTGAATGAATTTTAGTATTAGGCTAATACTAAAATCTGTCTCTTATACACATCTAGATGTGTATAAGAGACAGATACATGATATGATTAATATCTAAATAGACAATATAATTTGCGTAATGTTCTATATAGTAAATAATATTGTTCATCAAACTTGGGTACGGTTTGACCAACGATGGGTACGGTTTGATCAAAGATGGGTACGGGTTGACTAAAATTCTGGGTATGGGTTGACCAAAATTTGGGTAAGGTTTGTGGGTACGGGTTGGCATGGGTACGGTTTGACTGTAATTCCTTAGGGCAGGCCTGGGTTGGATCGCATCCCGGCCAGGCCTAGCACTTATAATGGGTGGGGGCCTGGAGATTTTTGGATCAATTTGTGATACCTGTACAGTACATAAAATCTATATAATTTTCACTGATAGGGTTAAATGTATATGATATGATTTCTTTTTTGGCTGTTCAGTTTTAGCAGGGAGTTGTCACTATAACAACTCCCTGGTTTTAGTAACACTACAGCACTGTATACTTAAAGCAAAGGCCAAACGACACTGCAACACGGAAGTGGCCATGGATCACACCTGATTTAGCCCTCCCTCACTTTTGGGAAATTCCCACGACTCGCGGGAAACTTGGGGCTCCTGTTGGTTTTTGTCATGTATTAATAATAATAACTCTGTATCTGCTTTCAGAGGTAGTAGTACTGTCCTAGGTGACAATGGCGTGGCAACACAGTCACATAAAAGGCTTGAATAATGAAAAAAAATTGATTTTTCAAACAATAAGCGGGAAAGTGATAACAAATATTTAAATGCTTCCAGCTGTTCTTTTTTACAATATTAAACAATTTAACAATGTTTTTAATTTGTAGTCTAACTTGTTAAAAAGGTACTTAATTTTGCTGCCATTCATGTAGTGTATGATAAAAGAGTCAATAGAAAATTGGTATCCTTAATTGTTAATGAGCTTTTTAATTATTTCATGTAAAGTCGTTGATTGAACATTTGTATTTTGTAAACTACTGGAAAACTCCATTTATTTATTTAATTTTATTTGCATCGAACAGCAAATGACTTGTTTATTGCAGGGTGAATGATGCTTTATAAAGTCTCACTTCATGAGGCTTAGGGAGTGGAGTTGTTTTTGTCTTGAAAGAAAATCCTGCTGCTAAAGGAATTGAACCCAGGACCCAGGGATTAGAAGCAGGGATGTAACACAAATGCTTGAATAAGTGCTGCTGCGCTTACAAAATTTTTGGATTCTTTAGTACGGCACTTATTCGAGAGCGACGTTTATTCAAGAGCGGCGCTTATAAAATATACCCGTTCCCACCTTACATAGCTCAATGTTCGCGTAGTTCAGTAGGCCTATCATAGGTCCTATGTCATTGTAACTAAATGTTGATAGAGAAATGCTTAGGTGTCTTCATTGTGTTATTAATTTTAACACTGCATACATTGTATTTAAAACCCTGTTTCTCAAAGTGTTTCATTACACACAGGGTAATATAAACTCTCAGTTAAGCTCCGCTGCGCTTTTTCGATAGCGGCGCTTTTAAAAAAATCGTGCGCCGCTTATTTGAGAGCAGTGCTTATTTGAGAGCGGCGCTTATTGGAGCATTTACGGTAGTTAATGGTGGGCTGGACCACCCAACCTTGAAGTTTTCCACCCAGTCTAAAGCAAATTTCATGGCCCTGCACCCATCCGTAATAACCCACTTTTCCATCCTTAAAATCCACTCATAGGAATAAAAAATGTCTATCACCTGCCCTTAGTTTTCTACACTACAACCCTGTAGAAGGAAGACACCTACCACAAATTTAAAAATACGGTACTCCATGAGGTTTTAAAAGCTACATGAAGATAACAGTAGATGTGACTGTGACATTGTGTCCTTGGTTTTATTTCTTTTCAAACCACAGTGATTAAATGTTAACATTTTTTTTTTCCTCTGACAGATGCAAGAGAGTTTTGATACAGCAAATAAGAAACGTCCGTCACTGAAGAAAAATTTACCAGAGTCCCAAATACTTGAAATCTTTGAAACTGTTTGCTCAAGTAAATTTGACAAGTGGGTAAAATATTCTTAAACCTAGTGTAAACTTACTTGATTCTAATTTTCTGTTCTATCTTTCTTGTTATACTTCTCCCTAATTCTCAAATTTATCCTCTTTGTTTCTGGTTTTCTCTTTATATCTTTGTAATATCAACTATTGAAACTACCTTGTAAATCCCTATAATTCCCATATGTAATTCTCATCATAATAGTTAACCCTTGCCATTATTATTTGTGTTTATAAAATATTAAATAAAATATATAACTGTAGAACTGTTTGATTGATAATAAACCAAGCATTATGGAAATAAATATATTATAAAAATATATATATATTTTTTATACAACCTAGTGTCGGAGTAAAAGAAATAAAAGGTGTAACCAGGCTGTCTGGACCAGGACTTGAAACAGCTGATGTCCCCGGCGTCATGGCAGGCGGGGGTAAATGGCCTTCAAGGTACAGTTTATTGGTTAAATAATTTTTTACAAGGTATATAATTGGTGAACAACCTGTAGAATATTTAAACAAATTTTGTAATGTCTTTGCATTGTGTGGTCAGTGAGGATAAAACCTGCAATCTGTTAATAGTTGAACTTGCCTAAGTCGAATCCAAAATGCCATTGAAACATTGTTCGACTTAGATAAAATATTGACTTATAGATTGTTAATTAATGGAAAACATTTTGGCATGTATAATAAGATCGACTTAGAAATGATTCAACTTGGCCACAGTCGACTTTAGGCAAGTTAGATCGACTTAGAAATTATTCAACTTAGGCACAGTCGACTTTAGGCAAGTTTAACTTGCCATACCTGGAATTCATGTGATTTTCTCGGTGTATCTCAATTCATCCTATTTACCTTTTCAAAATGTATCCTGGACACACTCTAATGTGATTGGAGTTTGCGGATACTAATTTTAGGAGGCCCAAATGCCAATACACTGAATAATTTCATGCATAAAACCAAGAGATATTTCCCCAGGGAGTGGAGTATGTGTTTCACATGACTTGGAGAAATTGTGTGAACAGTGTCAGATCAAGAAACTCAAAATTGATGGGGCCCCGGGGAGGGACTTTCACTATTGGAGGATCTCTAGGCAATTTCAGGCCCGCTATTGGTTGGGGCTGAAGTAAGATAATTTATGATTATGGCACTCTCAAGACTTAAATTTGAATATAATTTTTCTTTTTTACTCCATCTTCTTTTTTTTACAATTTTGGGAAAAATCAGGGCATGGGGGATTGTGATACCAGGCCAGTTGCTCTCCCCCCCCCCCCCCCCCCCTTTAATCAGTCACTGCACATTTGTATATATAGAAACTGATATTTTTATTATTAATTCTCTTGTGCATAATGGCAATGCCTCAATCCACCTCGCATTATTATCACTGCCATTTATAATCAAAGACCTATAGAACACATCAGTTCCCTGCGGTGCATATTGCCAATGCCTCAATCCACCACGCATTATTATTATTAAATTTGCATCACGTACCATAGAGCAAAATAGGCTATGCCTTGGCCCCCTAGCCTAGTCCAAAGCTATTCCAGCCTTATTAGCGTATGAAAACAAAATGTAGTGTATATATATATATATATATATATATAATAATAATAATAATAATAATAATAATAATAATAAAATGCTGACCCCAAATTTCGTAAAATTTGTGTTGGTGGGGCTTGGCCAACACAATTTTTTTTTTTTTATTTGGCCTAATCGAGCCATCAATCTTTATTAGAGGCTCAATATATCTTGTCTGCAACACAAATTTCCACCTTTTGACCACCCCTTTTACATTAATGGTTTGAATGATACATTAGCTTGAATTCATTTCTCCTTTGTTTATCCAGATTGATGCAGATGTGTGGTGAATACATTGGTGATCTCGGAGAAGAAGAAATCTATGAGGCTTACAAAGAAGGCAACTTGCAGGACTTTGTTTGCAGACAACCTGGGCAAGACTGCTACAAACATGAACAGAAAACAAAAAATAAAAAGAAGAAATTGGATAATAAAACAACAAAATCAAAAGAAGAACTATGAACACATATAGGTTTCATTTTTTTTTTTTTTTATTATTACAGTTAAATTTGCCTAAGTCGACCGTGCCTAATTCGAATAATTTTTAAGTCGATCTTATTTTACATGCCAATTGTTGTGTGTTTTCAATAACAGTCTGTAAGTCAAATTTTATTGAACAATATTTCAATGACATTTTGGAATCAACTTAGGCAAGTTCACTATATTATTTTTTGTACTTTTTAACTAGTACATTTTATGTATTCACAGCATTGGCTTTATCACTCTCATACTTTTTATTTCAATCGGGATTAACATGAATGTTACAATTTTAAGGTTTAAAGTGGTTACATATGTATTAGTCGGTGAACTAAAAAGTGAGATTTTTTATACCTTGTTTCGCGAACTTATTTTTTTAAAGATCGTCAGTGGAGGGTGGGGAAAAAAAATATAATTTTTATTTTCTTAATGGTTTTACCAAAAAACATCCAGGCGAAGAAGAAATCATCAATATTGGCGGGCGGTGTGTTCGTTAAATAAGGTATAAAAAATAGTCTTGTCTAATTACTGTATGCTACAGAAAAATATTTTTAAAGATGAAATTATTAACACATTTCAAATATAAAATTATTTATAAAAAAAATATATAAAATTTTCAGAAATACTATAAACTCTACAGTATAATGATGATAGTTAAATATTATATTTATACACAGTATAATGGTGATAGGTAAATATTATATTTATACATTAAGAAAATATATTCTGTTTCAATACCTAAGAACTCATACTTTTTTATCATTGTTACAAATTTATCAAAAAAATTAATCTAGGTCATTGTCATCTTCATTATCACCATCATCTTCTTAATCATCATCATTATCATCATTGGCATCGTGACATTAAAATTGGACATTATAGTAGTGTTTTTTTTTCAAGAAAGTTTTTATTGACTTAAGCCACAGATTATGTATTTACTCTAACATTCCAATATTATTACCCTTAAGGCAGTGTTTTATAGTATGTTTTACATTTCTATAAATTGTTTTTAAAAACTATACTATACTATCAATTATGTTTATTACTATAAGGTTGCTGCACTGAATGTTTATCAAATCATTGATTATTTAAAACAGTATTCACATAATGTAATATTTTATGTGTATTTGTGTAGATTCCTGGCTATGTGTATAAAGATTAATTAGTAAACTGTACAGGCAGCAGTACTGTACTATCGTTATCAACCATTTTCTGGGTGTTTTTGCGGGGACCTAGTTATTTCAGCATACCATTGTTCTCTCCCATCAACAACCATGTGATGCAGTGTATCGTAGTTTTACAGATTGTGAATCAGCCTTAACAAGAGACTAATCATAACAGGGCGTATGAGTAAGCAGTGGTGGCGCAGGGATTTGCTCACTCACTAGTGGGAGAGCACAAGTTGGCATGGTCACCTGTTGCGCAAAACTGGCATCGTACTAGGGGTCGAGCCCCTGGAAGCTGTGACAATTTAAAATTTGGAAGTATAACGATCTGTAAAAATATACATACTTTTGTTTCCCTCCCGGACGAAATGTTGCTTTTTTCTCCCCGACAAGGTTCTGTTACTTTTTAAATATGGTTTTGTTGGTATTTATATCTGAAATTTTACAATAAGCTGTTAGGTTTATGTTTAACAACACTTATGCAATAAAGCTATGCTTTTCACTTACAGTATACTTTAACTGTTGAATGTTAGTGTAATCTATATAATTGATAATGATGAAGATTATGACGCCACCGAAACTAGAATGAATAATAATAATAAATATTATTATTATTTATTATTATAAGCCTAAATCTTATAATTACATTAATCCAAAAATTACAGGCCTATACAGCAGGGATGTAGCCAGGATTTTGAAAGGGGGGAGCCGTTATGCGAATTACGTATGCCCCCGGCGGGGTCAAGGGGGCGAATCCCCCTGTGAAGTAGCGCACTCTGAACGTTCTTAGGACTGTTTGAGAGGATAAAGTGAAAATTGCAATAGACGCATTATAAATAAAAAAATAATTATGTAATAAATCAACAGTGGCAGATCCAGGAATTCGAAATAGAGGTGAACCAGGGAGGGACTTTCACAAACCGAAGAACCACCCACCTCAGCCCCACCATGGTTGGGGCTGAGGTAAGAAAATTTATGATTAGGGCATCTCTAGATGGCCGGAAATTACAATCTCGCACTTCAATTTGAATATATTTTTCCTTTTTTTTCCTTAAAAAAATGAAGGGGGTGCCTTGAATCCACCTCTCCTCTGCTCAAAACATTCTTTATCCAGAATAGTCATAATCACGAAAAAGGGACATAAAAAACCAGATTACATCCTAAAAACAAACAGCAGTCACTAAGACATACATCAGGAGCCGACTCGATGGAGTTTAATGTCATACCCAGGGAAGGGCACAGATCTGTTTTGAAAGGGGGAGGGGGAGGGCATTTTGTAAGTCGACACCCACCCCAGCCCCACAATGGTTGGAGCTGAGGTGAGAAAATTTGAGGAAATAGTACCTCTAGATGGCCAGAAATGACACTTTTAGTAAAATTCATCATCTTAATTGTATGATGATCTATTTTTATGTACATTTCCTTATTATTTTTTAATTATTTTCTGTATCTAATGTAGGCCTATATCTGTCTCTTATACACATCTAGATGTGTATAAGAGACTAGGCTTATGTGTTCTATTAGGCCTATGTATAACGTGTACTGATGCATATTTACATGTTTAGAAGTATTCATTTTAAGTGATCCCAGGAAAGAATTTGTATTGGCTCAAGAATAAGCTTTAAAATTTGAACACTGTGTACAAAGGGGTGGGGGGAAGCCGCGGCTCCCACGCCCCCCCCCCTGGATACGTCCACGTTGTGGATTCTCATTACATCAGCACCCCCTTCTTTAAAATATGGATACGCCACTTTGCTGAAAACAATAGTTAAGACAAATATATTTCCATTCGTTTTGTTGTTCATGTAAATGTCTGATAGGTTATTACTTTAAAACAACGCTAAAAACACAGTGTCAATACGAACATTTACACATGTAAGACTGAGCTGAGCGAATCCGAATTAAGGTGGAATTAGTAGTGGTTATGTGATGTTTGTCATGCACTCTATTATGCGCTATAGAAATGGAAGACCTTATAATGTAATGGGAATGAACGTCTCTGGTATTGCCGACAGTACAATCAGTGTAAAATATAGGCTATTGTGGATTTAAACAATGTCCTAATGGCAATGTTCAAAATAAATGTAAATCAAATAAATATGACTGTTGGGGTGTGAAGGGGTGTATCTTTGTAGTTAGGCAGTTATATACTGTCTTTATGTCTAAAAAAAACTTTAATTTTAACACCGGGTCTCCATTTTAAAAGCTCCTAAGAGTTTCGTGGAGGTCCTTTTCGTCGCTCTGTTTTTGAATATGTATTGTTGAGTTTACTTTGTCATGAATTGCAAAGAACATGAATAAAGAAATAAAATCAAAAATGTAAAAAATATGTCTATATGCGTACAACAACTAGATTATAGAATTTACTAATAGATCAATAACTTTCCAATGATAACCACATGAACTACATTACTCCACCAAATTTTAGAAACAATAGCAGTATTGTACAAATAAACGGCATCATATACTTTTTATGTTAATCATCTATTTATTTTGGCGCACATTGATCATACAGTGCTCCTATCATTATCAAAATCGAATGCAAAATGAACAGATCATAATTATGCCTATACAAAAAAAAAATTACTAGATCATTACTCCAGCCTGCGTTAACAAAATTGGGAAATGTTGATGCGGAAATTAAAAAAAAAATTTCTTTTTCTTGGCCGCATCATTTTTTCAACAGCATAAAAAACAATGTAATTGTGTGATTGGAAATACGTTTTCTTTAAAAAACAATAAAAATTAAACCTGTTTTTATAAAATATTTACAATATTCTTGCCAAAAAAAAAGGTCCCTCCCTCATCTATTAAAAGAAGCAGTTGTCCTGATTAAAATAAAAATAGTGATCTAATAATTTTTTCTATGTGCCCTAAATTGGCTATAGTGGGACACAGTGATAAACTATAAATGTCTTGTTTAATATTTTCAACAAAAAAAAATCCTATTCTTTTTCATTGTGTCCAATGGTTGCCAAATTGGCTATAGTGGGACACAGTGATGAAGTACAACTTGTCTTCTTTAATATTTTCTAAGTTAAACCTTTTCGTTTTCATTTTTCATCATTAGTATCTCTTTACCGTTCAATTGTGCGCCCCCATTTGGAATATTGTTCTGTTATTTTTAGTTCAGTTTCTTTTACACAAGCTCAGCGTATTTCTAATGTTCAGAATAAGTTTATTAGGTTTCTTAGTCATACTTGTCCCAATTATAATGTCTCTCTTATGTCTCTTGAAAATCGTAGAATTATTTTTGACATGGTATTTTTATATAAGTCTTTAAATTCCATTTATGATTGTCATCTTGTTTCTATGTTCAGTTTAAACATCCCGACTCGTACCAGCAGTAAGTGTTTACTTCATGTTCCTTACGGTCGTGTAAATTGCACAAAACGGGGTATTTTTCAACGTTTACCGAACGAATTTAATAGACTACTTGATACTTGTTTTAATATTGATATTTTTTATGATAGTCTTAATATTTTTGAAAACAAAATAGTTAAAATTGTGTAAGTGTATTTTAGTTTATTTCAGTTTTGAAGTTTATAATATATATTTATATATGTTTTAGTTGAACCTGTTAGTGGCGGTTTTCATCGCTGTTGGTTTTATACTGAATAAAATTAAAAAAAATTGTGTTCAATGGCTGCTAAGAGCACATAGAAAAAATTATTAGATTATCACTCTTTAAAAAAAAACGACGAGGGAGGGCGGTTTTTGTTTGCTTTTTTTTTTTTAATCAGCAAAAACAATTTTGTTTTTATTCCCACATCAATATTTCGAGAATTATATAGTGGGACACAGAGATAAAGTACAACTGTCCTCTTATTTTCTAAGTTAATCATTTTCTTTTAAATTTAACTAGTTAACAATTTTATTTTAAATTTAACAATTGTTTCAGTGCTCTAAATTGACTATCGTGGGACAGAGTGATAAACTATAAATATCTTATTTAATATTTTCCAAGATAATCCTATTCTTTTTCATTGTGTCCAGTGGTTGCCAAATTGGCTATAGTGGGACACAGTGATACCACAAATACAAATGTGCGTGACGATGTTTTATTGCTTTAGAAATGTGATTTAAAAATGTATATTGAATCAAGCACTGAGTATTCAATATATTTTCACGACAGGTTGGGCAAAATACATATAGGCCCCCTAATTGATTCTCCTGACGCAAATCCAGGTATTGTCTATCGTCACGAAAATAACATTTACCATTCAACAATGGAACAGTCATCGACCTACTTGTAGTGAATTGAATATAAAATGTATTCATGATGTTATGATGATCTTAAGTGTTTGAAAACGTACACAATAATAGTTTAACCAACATTAATACCACAAACACAAATGTGCGTGACGATATTTTATTGCTTTAAGAAATGTGATTTTAAAAAAGTAGTGCATCGTATACGTAAGGGCTTGTTTTGTTGTTCTTTTACTTGCAGCGTTTTGGAAATAGGTAATAGGTAAATTGTAATAAATATAATCAATAATATATAGCATTTAAAACCTATTATTATTGAAGGGTCCTTTTAAAGTTTAAATAGGATTTTTTTTAAGTTACATTTTTAGAGCATTAGACCTATTGAACGAGCCCCCAATAGCCCCGGGCCCCAGTGTTGTGCACCGACTGCACTGTCCATACCTACGCCACTCGACCTAAGTATTATCAGTGGTTACATAACGTTTGCGATGCACTGTATCATGCGCTATAGAAGTGGAAGACCATAATGTATTGGAAATATATCTCTCTCTCTCTCTCTGGTAGGGCCTACAGTACAATCAGTTTAAATGTGTAATGTATAGGATAGTGTGGATTTAAACATTTTCCTAATGGTAATGTTCAAAACAAGTGTCAAGGAAAGTAAGTATGATTGTTGGAATAAATGGTCAACATTTTATTTTGAATTCTCACCCTGACCTTCGACTGGGCGCAGTGGGCGAAGGTCTGGATCCGCGTCTAGTTAGCATGAATTTTGTAAGCCAGGACCCATTGTATTTTGTTACGTTTCTTCACAGAGTGGCCCCCCCTGGATCCGCCACTGTAATGTGCTAATAGTTAATATAGCTTTTAACGATGCGAAGCGAAGACGAAGTCCCCCAATTTGGTGATTAAATCGACAATGCCCTGAGAAATCTTCAAGCAACAAATTGAAAATGCTTAAAAAAGAAAGTGCATGTTTTACTAGAGTGCACGAGAAGCAAACACACACAAGACAAGCGACCATTATTTTTTGTTCACGGTAAACAAAGGGGGTGGCTAGCCACTCTATTCACCACCACCACCCCCCCCCCCAGATCCGCCACTGATTGGGGTTTTGTATTTAAAAAAAACTGCAAACTATATTTGTAATTGAATTATATAATTTTGTAATTGTATTTGTAGATTTACGATTTAGGCCTATATTTGTAAATGGGAGCAACTTTAATTGTGTAATTGTTAATCACTATAGGAATTTAAATTATTTTTACGTATGTAGGTGTGTCAGAAGGTGCACAA